CAAATTTGGCCAGGATGCCGGGGTTACACCCCTACTCTTTGAAAGACATCCTGGGATTTTTAATGACCACAGAGAGTCAGAACCTCGGTTTAACGTCTCATCCGAAGGACGGTGCTCTTTGACAGTATAGTGTCCCCATCACTATAGACGAATCCGGCGAAACTACCGGAAGTAAGCGGGGCGCCATTACTGAGCTGTTGCTGGGTAGCGTTGCGCCATTGCCTCCTATTGTTTTAGTTGCAACTTGCGTCCACTGGAATAAACAGCCCGCGATTTACGACTGTCAATAACGTTACAACGTTACCCCTTGTATAATGTCGAGTAGGTAAACAGTTTCCGTTATAAATTGTTTCAATGGTGGCAGTAAAATGTACATTTTGAAGAGAAAACATTGTGAATACCCCGGGTTGACTGCCCCTGTCTGGTGCCGTACGGTTTACAGATTTCCTGGGCGAGTACAAGACGTGTGTCACGGTGCGGGTGCAGGCAGAAGAACAGGCTGAGTTCCGAATCTCGATAAAGAGACATTTAATTCAAAAATAGGCAGGAAGACGGGGTACACAGCGTAACATAGAACATTGACCGACAAAACTGAATACTAAATACACAGAGGAATAAGGCTAATTGGAGTGCAAACAGGTGAAAATGATGATGAACAGACGAGGAACAGGTGGCTGATGAGGGAGTGAGATCAGGAGAGGAGACAAAAGGAGCCGGGGAAGCGTGGTGCAGATGACGGGACAAACAGGTGAAGACGAAGACTGTGACAACGTGGACATTCGCGTATAAAAACAATTATTTAATGACATGAGTAAAAAAAATATAATAAATATGTGATATAGTGATAAGCAAAATCTCCTCTCTTGCTGTTTTTTCTATTCAATTAACATGCTATGGTCATTAAATGGCTTTCCTGAGCTAAATGTAACGTTATGTGACATAATTGTTTTCCTGCTGTTATATTGACCTCTTTCCATGGTTTAAAAACACTAATTGGTCGATATTATGTATACTTTCTAGCTGTAACGTTACCTTACCCTTGCCTGTTGCAATATGAAAATGAGATAAATAATGGACACAAATGAAAAACATGAATTTGTTTATGTGATTTCATTCATTTATTTATTTATTGTTGCCAAATGGACAGATCTTTTTATAGTTTCCTCGTTAGCAAACGTTAGCCTAGCTAGCTTGCCAAGCTATTTTCATAAATAACGTTAATCTGTAAGATCGTTTGTACCTTCATCTGTGACTGGAGGCCACTGCAGTCACAGATCAAACCAACAAGTCATTCTGCCTGGCTGTAGCTGTCATTGAGGGTGCGTTCGCGATATCACCGAGGTTTGTTTACATACCGGTGCACATGTCTATATGCCTGTGTAACAGCTCAGTAATGGCGTCGCCACAAGATGGCAGCCTACACAGAACGCTCGTCGGATTCGTCTATACTGGGGCGTTATGACCCACACAGACCACAGGGTGAGCACCCCCTGCTGGCCTCACTAACACCTCTTCCAGCAGCGACCTGGCTTTCTCAGAAGGTCTCCCATCCAGGTACTAACCAGGCTCAGCCCTGCTTAGCTTCAGTGAGCAACCAGTCTTGGGCTACAGGGTGATATGGCTCCTGGCGAAATGACAGTTGTCATAAACATGCATAAAACCTCCTTCATATTCATGACGTGTCATGTCATGATTATGAAAGTGTCATGTCAGTCTTACGCACTAGGGTTGTCACTTTACGTTCGAAAATCGATTGCACAATCGATCGGACCAACCAACACAAGTATCGAAAACGAAAATAGGGAATCGATTTTAACGGCCTTCTCTCAGAGCGCGTCCAGCTCGTCATGCCCGCAGCGAATGCGCGTCACACAGCAACACACACACACACGTAATAGCAAATTGTACTTCTGCATAATGAAAAATATGAATTCTGCCGGTTTTCAGAAAGTCTCATGCATACAGATACAGATTCAGAATCGATTTTAACAGCCTTCTCTCAGAGCGCGTCCAGCTCGTCCATAGACAGTATAAGAGGAGCTTACTGTAGAGCAGCGAACGCGCGTCACACAGCAACAAACAAACACAAACACACACACACACACACACACATAACAGCAAATTGTACTTATGCATAGTGAAAAATGTGAATTCTGCTGGTATTCAGAAAGTCTCATGCATACAAATACAGATTCAGGCTACAATCGCCTATGTTGGCAAAATTTGTTTGACATTTAAGTAGTAGGCTAATCGAAATAATAACTCTAATCGTAAACAGAGCCATGTTGAATCCTAATGTTTTTCATTGATGTTATGGCAGTCCACTCTGCTTTTTTTTTTGAGAATGTTACACTCCTGTTTGTCATTGTGCACGAAGCTTCATGTCAATAAAACATCAGAAATATTCAAGTGCGCACCTTAAGCGCCCTCTATAGGCCTACGTTCGCCCTTATGCGGTGTCCGTGGATTTGCCTATATTTGGCTAAAATGGAAATGTGTTTAAACATGGAAAATCGATTTTACAATCGATTCAATGAACACTTATGTCTCAAAAATCGATCAAGATTTTTTGACAAAAGTGACAGCACACCACTTCAAGTAAAGTGTTACTAAAAGTATCCCTGCATCTGTTCCTAAGACATTTCTAATATGATCTTCTACATGATAAAAGATGATGGAGAATCATTTCTGAGAGCTGATGAATCTCCAGGACTTTACCTTTGTCAGAGATCTTCGTTTCTTTGCAGAAATCCTCTAACTTGTCTCTCAATTGACTGAATGATTCTCTCACAACATCAAAAGAGGAGAGAGAACTGAAGGGATTGTCATTTACATCTGTATATTCAGGAGGAGTTGAGAGAGACTGGAAACTCTACAAAAAACAGAAATCAAAGCTCATCACCTCCACACTTCAATAACCTGCACTACTGTCAGATTTGAGCGGCTCTTGTTGATCTTTAGTAGTGAAACTGGTACCATCAAGTTCAGGGATTTCACATTGTTATAAAAAAGAGTTTAAATGTCAGTGAAGTTTTGGGATGTTGCTGTCTGTATTATATATATTTCTTTCAGAGATTTCCAGAGCTTAACTGCATTTAAGTGTGTGTCTTTCAAAAGAAGAAGATCAGGGGCCTCATTTATAAAACTTTGCGTAGGATTTGCGTCAGATGTGGCGTACGGATGAAACATAGGACGTGCATACGCACAGAAATATTCAGATTTATAAAACCGTGCGCACGCACATCCTACGCATGTTTCCCTTAATAAATCACAATCAATTCTAAATGTAGCGCAGCTTTTGCAGCTTCATGTCACGCCCACAGTTGCCCATAAATAGTCCGTGAAACGCCCACAAGTTAATATTCATCGATTGCGAAATCATGGCAAACACAGAGAGGAAATTAAAAAAAAAACGTAACTTCACTCAATGTGAAGTAGAAGTTATCGTTGGCGAGGTGGAAAAGAGGAGAAAAATGTTGTTTGGAGGGCACAGTGTGGGCATTACTAATGCTTGAGTGGCAAAAGGTTGCAGAAGCCGCAAAAGCTGTAGCCTCACAACCTCGGACTCGGTCGAGGCAAAAAGCGTCAAGTCATTAATTCAATTAGAGGTGGCCAAGGAGTTGGGCGAATTCAAGACGTCCTAAGTGAAATAAACTGCACAATGAGATAATATATTTTTTTCCACACATTTTGTTGTGAAGATGATGCGTTCACTCCGAATCCTTCCATTTAATCGCCACATCTTCTAAGAGCGCAAGATCAGCCATTGTGCGTCATTATACGCATTGTGATGGGGCATTTTATTTCCATCCATTAAATTGCGTCTGACAACAGATGTCGGTTATAATCTACTTGAAAATGGGAAATAGTTCAGCACAAATGTAATTTCTTGCAGCTTTCTGAATGGTTGAGGCATGCGTCATACGCTATTTTATCAAAATTAAAACAAACTAAAGGCTTATGCATGAATACCATGATTCCGTAGCTGATGAAGACATTTTTTCTATGAAAACAACTTTCCTCAGTGGACAAATAATACATCTATCTATTTATCTATCTATCTCTCCCTAATTATCTATCTATCTGACTGACTATCTAATTGCATCTATATCTGCTCCGCCAGATGGACACATGGCGAGAATATCAGTTTTTGTACATTATTTCGTTCTGTTTACCATCTTATTTATGAGGATGAATTGGCTTTATGCCCAACCCCAGCAAACAGGGGACGTCCTCCGGACGTTGCGAACGTCTAATTAGGTCCGGATCTGGTCCGGTTCATAACGTTCGCTGGGGGACGTTCGGAGGACGTCCGCATTTGGTCCGGTGTGGTGAAGAGATGGGTCCCCCTGAAGAGATGAGTCCATAGCTGTCAACCCTCCCGTTTTTTCCGGGTTTCTCACGTATTTTAGCTCTTTTCCCGCTGTCTTCCCGTTTTAGTATTTTCCCGTAAAATATCCCGTATTTTTGTTTGAGACGTACGAGCTCGGACAGATTCGGCTTGAAGTCGTTTATCCTCGGATGCGGTGCCGCGCGCACTGGCCGGAGACACACTGGCTGCGTGGCGTGTACGTTTTTATTTCGGCTCCCATGTTAACAGATTAGAGCTTGCACACTGCCTGCGTGACACGCGCGTCTCCAGAAAACGCGTGCATGCTAGAAATAGAACTGACGCCTATTTTTCACGCGACAGGCAAGCGTGTTTTTTGCCTGGAATTTCTTTGCGTTTCCAGGCAAAAAAATAAATAAAAAATAGGAAACTACATGTTTAGACTAGCTGTATGTCATTTTGTACTCGAATAATTAATACATTACATTTTGATGTTTGAAAGTCTAGGTTTTTACAGAAATTCAGATATCTAACCAAGATATGAAACCAAGACACACTGACAGAAGAACCAAAGAAGGAGAGAAGTATAAGTAGTGTAGAAAATCAGTGCAGAAAATGGGCAACAGGTGTGAGCAATGAGAGTGAGAGCACTGATTAGGATTCAGCTGTGATGGTAGAGTGAGGTGAACTGATAATCAAGACAAACACCGCAGAAAGGCTGAAGATCAAACCAGAGTCCTGACATACTGTGCATCAAATATTTTTGTAAGTATTGTCTCAATGAATACATTATAATATGTCCAATTCATTTGAAAGTAGATATTCTTTATTTTTCTCAGTCAAACTGAGAAAATTTTTTCTACAATCATTCGTTGAATATAACGCCCAGATCCATCTTCACCTCCTGCCCGTTAATCTCCAAAGTGGCTCTACACAAATTTGGTCATCCTCCAAGTATGGGAGTGCAAGATCTCTATTAAATGGAAAGTGATATTGTACTCATTTCATTTAAAAACATTTGGCAATATGTAGCTAGGAGTTTTAATTACAGTTACTTAATAATAATACAGATGAATAGTTCTTGATGCTGTAGACTTGTCTGCAGCTGTGTTTATAAAACATCCTGTGGAAAAGAAGCGTAGAGCTAGACATAATGATGCTAAAATTTTTAAAAGTTTCAGGCTTCAAATGCTCCTCCAAGTCAATTGCTAGTTCTTGTATTGCATGTCTATGAAACCTAGCTAAACCTTAGCTTCTCCAGCAGTTCTGTTTCAGAAAAGACTTCTAATGGGTTTGAACAGTCTTTGAAAACTCTTTCTAACAACTTAATATGTTTTAGTGTTTCAGACTCGATGGAAGTGAAAGGTGATGATGCTGTAGTTTGTTTCAGCCTGTTGACACCAATAAAACAATTTAATGTGCCAATTTACAGAAGATCTCAGACATCACCATAATGAATGAGCTGAAAACAGGGAACTTTTGGAGACAAAGAGGTTTTTCAGCTGCTCAGTTTAACATGATGGCCCTGTGCTTTTTAAATGCAGATTGGATAAAAACACAGTGATCACAGTTCACACCTGCAGTGAAGCTCCTCCCACAACAATTCACCAATAAATACTGGGATTATTCCAATCATCCTACAAGAGAAGGACAAACTCCAGGAGTAGCAGCTGAAATCTGTGTGACTGTTAAAGATGGAGTTTATTAAAGAGGAGATTGAAGACATGAGTGATCCAGAACCATCTAGAATAAAACATGAAGATACTGAGGAACAAACAGGTTGGTGTCCATTCTTGATTCTTCATTGTTGATGCTTTGGTGGCTGTGAATTAATAAGCAATTTATGGATGAAAAATGATAGATAAATACATCTAAATGATCATAACCTTGTATAAAGCAGTTGTCAAACATATTTTACTATATTAACAATGAATGGACAGAATAACAAGTGAAAGATCTGATCTCTGTTGTTTTCTGCTAATAAATAAGGGTTAACTTGAACTGATTCTAACTGTATTTCTGTGTATTTTAGACCAGGTGAGAGTGAAAGAGCAAAGACGAGAACTGAATGAAGTGGAGGAGGAACATCGTAACTTTACAATTCGAAGAACAAAAGCCAAAAAGAGGCACACCTGCACTCACTGTGGAAAGAGTTTCACAGACAAAGGAACCCTTAACAAACACATGAGAATTCACACTGGAGAGAAACCGTATACATGCACTCAGTGTGGAAAGAGTTTCACACAGAAAGGACACCTTAACAGACACATGAGAATTCACACTGGAGAGAAACCATGTACATGCACTCAGTGTGGAAAGAGTTTCTCACAGAAAGGAAACCTTAACAAACACATGAGAATTCACACTGGAGAGAAACCGTATACATGCACTCAGTGTGGAGAGACTTTCACACAGAAAGGAACCCTTAACAGGCACATGAGAATTCACACTGGAGAGAAACCGTATACATGCACTCAGTGTGGAAAGAGTTTTTCTCATTCATCAAATCTCAGTGTTCATCTGCGTGTTCACTCTGGAGAAAAGCCATTTAACTGTGATCAGTGTGGTAAAGATTTTAGTGTATCAGAAACTCTAAAACAACACCTGAAAGTTCATTCAGATGAGAAGCCTTATGTGTGTTCTCTCTGTGGTAAGAGTTTTTCAAGGCTGTACAATTTTAAACAGCACCAAAAAACACATAATGAAGTGAGAGATTATATGTGCTTTGACTGTGGGAAGAGCTTTACTAGACCTGGTGAACTGAAACTGCATCAACGAGTTCATACTGGAGAAAAACCTTACAAGTGCTCACACTGTGACAAGAGTTTCACTCAGTCTGGATTCCTGAAATCACACGAGCGAGTTCACACTGGAGAGAAGCCGTACTACTGTACTCAGTGTGGAAAGAGTTTCACCCAATCAAGTAATCTAGTGACTCATATTAGAAAGCATTGTTCTGTGTCACAGTGAGAAAATGTTTTGTTAGATTCAAATAAAGTAAATGTTTAGCTAGTTAAACTAATAAACTATTGTTGCTGCAAGATTTGTTTTATCTGTTGGAGAACAAGAATGATTAAAATCATTTTAATTAAACACTTACTCAAAGAAAATAAAAAAATACCAAAATGAAATGCGATTGAAAAGCAATGCAAGTTTCTTTCTTTTTTTTTTTTGGTCTAAAGAAAAAAGGCAGAAAAATGACTCCCCACAATGTGTATTGTATGCAAGTACAATTAATTATAGTTATTTTTATAAGTAATTAAAAACAACCTTTTACGAGTTTTCAGTTAATTGAACTCTTATTGTGACTGACAGAGAAGCCTGTAAATATTTAATGTTCATTTTATTATTGTATTTAAGACTCTTAATTTGAAACTGCCTTGTAATGAGCTGTTTGAGTTGAGACTTTTATTATGAAAAGTACAGAGTGATTCAGAAAACGAAAGTTAAAGAATTTAGCCGGATTGTTGCTGCGTCCCAATTCGCATACTATTCGTCCTAAATAGGATTCGAAAATAGAATTAGTGCGTCCCAAACCGTAGTATGTTGAAATGAGTGTTTCAAAGATACCCCGATGGTCTACTGTTTCCGGTCAGAATCCGAAGTGTAGACATAGACAGTAAAAGAAATGGACAGAGCGATCTCATTGGAACTCCATTGAGACGATTGCAGCTCGTTTTTGGCGATTTTTTAGCACTTCCGTCCCTGATGCGCAGACTCAAACAGAGCTTGACTAAGTAGTGGGACCTGAGTGACCCATCTGTCTTCTAGTGCAGTGGCATGAGAAATCTGAATCATTCCCTTCCGAAACATGCAGAGGTGGAGAGTGTGAATAGGAGCTGTCCATGAGCTAGGAGAAGGACACAATTTTGCTAGGTATTCTGATTAATTATTTTGTCATATTGCCTCCACGTATCCCCGATTGCGCGTGAGCTTCTTCTCATGTCCATATGGTAATCTCTCTACTGTGCGACAGAGAGTCGCGTGGGTATGACGCAATCGTTAGCCTACTTTCACTAAAACTGCTTCTACAGGGCCATAACTTAAACTACAAGGTAATGGAGCATTTTATACATTGTCGTGTTTCTTTAGAAATAATTTAAGGACAAATGGGGTCCTCAAACGCCTCAGATGTAAAGTTATTCGCTGTCAAAGTGACGCCAAAATGAATGGGAGTCAATGGGAATGGTAACGCAAGTGAAGTTCTGCTACAAGATGTCAGGTCCCGCGAGGCTTCAACTTCTGGTCGATGGATTACCCCCTTGAGTGTTGATCGATGCACACTCTAACGGCTGATTGCCCACAACCCATTGCGCGTTGGACGAGGATTCGGTTAGAACTACAAACACCAGTAAAAAGTGTTATGAAACTACAGGCACGGAGTCCCGAGTCCCGCGGTTACGTTGAGAGGTTTAGATAAAGAGGTTTGACCCAGACAGCAAACTGACATTGAATCAACGTGGAAACGACGTCTCTCATGACATCGAAACAATGTTGATTTTGCTCATCGAATTAATGTTGAACCAATGTCAGATGCGGCATTCTTCAAAGCTAAATGAAAATCAAAAATTGGTTTGCTTTCATAACGTTGAAAAAACGTTGATTTCAAGTTGATTTTCCGTTAGTTTTGAAAGAATGACGCGTCTGACGTTGATTCAACGTCTGGCGAGTGATTAATCTGGGGAGTGATTAATTATCAGTATCTAACCAAACGAAAATTAATTTATTCAATGTTCTCCACATTATATTACATCTGCAGCAGCATTGTGAACTTTTGTAAGGATACGTTTAGCCATTACTTTTTAAATGCATCATTATATTCAAATTACAATTACGAGTAAAGTATCCGCATGAAAGACCCTGGCAGATCAACGTGCTCCGATACGGTAGGAAATCAAATTAGATAGAATGGAGGATATTAACTGTGAAAGGGCAGTTTACGGTGACAGGATGCACGCAGAGCCGTCGGTTAAAGATGACATGCTAGTATGTGCCAAAGCTTGCCTAGTCTTTTGCTACACACTCAAAAGTATGTACTTTTTCTTCACAAAAAGAGTACTTTTAGGCCGTAGTATAAGTAGGCGAATTGGGACGCAGCACGTCTCACCTCTTGTTGCACAACGGAGGACCACGTGAAGGAGGCAGAAAGGTTGGAAGTTTGTGCTGGGCAGCTCGTGAACAATGACCGTGACATTTTGGACGGACGGTTTAGCCTGGTGTTCGGAAGCCCCGAGTCCTGGCTGCTAAACTATTGTTGAAGATCCATTTAGGAGTCATGTCAGTCGCTCAGATTCCCAACAGTAAATTTACTGATTCTTGTGATGAATAGAACATTTTGAGCCCCTTTGTGCACTCGTGCAGGAGGTTGGTGTGTCAGTTTTACATGTTGTAAATCATACAAATTGGTTGTGATTTTTTAAAAGTAATTGTCATAAATAAAACGTGAAAACCCATACTTTGAAGACTATATTTGATTTTCAGTTTTAGATGGCAATGGTTAATTTGTTTTAATTTAAAAAAAAAACACTAAATGCCACTAAACTAATCTAAAATGTACAAACACATACTTTTAAGACCATAATTAAGGTAATTAAGAAACAATAAGATGTAATATGAAAAATTGTTGTTTATTACACATCTGCAGATGATCATTCACTGTACAGCATTTGCGGCAGATCAGAAAACGACCACAGCGGCGTATTTGTAATGATTAGACACAGCTTCAACCGTTGAATTAATATATCACTGTCCTTCGTGTCAAATATACATTTCGAATTAATAATTGTTCCTAGCTTAACAAAACCTGCGGCGCTCGTTGACTGAAATCCTATTGTAAACATAATCCTCTGATCATTTGGACTTGTTGTTTCCAGCCGTTTCGGCGCATGACATACGTCACTCACGACCACACGTTAGCGATTGGCTATGGCAGATCGTGAGTGACTTTGGGCAGATCCAATAGTTTTGAACTTTAATAGTGAACCCGCCTACAAGGAAGTAAACGTTTCTCAATGGAGAGAGGCCAGACTCTATATGGTGCGTTCTATTATAGCCAACGAACCGACTCGGATCTCGGATTTGACGTCACGTCCACATTTCAAGCGTTCTATTATGTTTTACGTGTCCAAGTCGGAAAAAAAATGGACACCACCCAGAAAGCTGTTATAATGGTAGCACTGGCCGAGTACCAGGCACTTACATTTAAAAAAAATATTATGACAACACCTTATCAAAACGCAGCCATTTGAACTTGAAAATGTTCACTTTATTTAATGTTTCCTATCGAGGGAACTCAACACTGCGTCGATAAAATCGACTCTTTGGGGACGCTCCCTAAGCGTGCGCCTCTGAAGTATGAATGAAACTAATCCAATCCTGATTGGTGTTGCGTCGTGACGTAACATGTGACGGCATACCCGGAAGTATAAAAGGGACGCTGTCACAACACACACTAGCTTTCGCTCTTTATGTTGAAACTGTCTGTCTTATTTGGTGTTGTTTGTCTTATTATTGAAAGAAGAAAGTATGGCCAGTGAGCAATTCAAGAGGTGTGTGCATCCCTGCCCTCGTTTCATCACGGGTGGGGACGCACACTCTCTCTGTGTGTATTGTTTGGGAGTGCAGCACGCACGGGCAGCTCTCGAGGGGGCTGCTTGTGAAATGTGTGAGGCTTTGCCTATTAGAGTGCTGCGCTCCCGGCTGGCGTGCTTTGACGAGCACGGTCAGGCTCGCGTTCCCCAGGGTTCCGGTCCCGCATATGTCGAGGCGATGCGGCGACTGAGATCCTGGGGTTCGCAGCGGGATCTGGCGGAGGAGAGTGAGAATGCTGAGGCATTTTCTCGCTCGCCATCGGCTGATCCCGCGGCCTCTGAGAGTGGTGTGGGAGCCCGCGCTGCGGTTTCTCCTACCCGCGATCAGGTCCCGGTGCTTGAGCTGTCTACTTCTGAGGAAGGGGACGTGCTCAGCATCGATGCGGACGACCGTGATCTCAGCACGCCATCACGCGGCCTGGGTTATGAGGAGCTGGTGGAGGTTGTGACACGCGCTGTGGCCAGACTAAACATCAGCTGGCCACAACATGAGCAGGAAACGCAAGTCACCAGTAAAATGGATGAGCGTTACCTGCAGCGCAGGTCACAGCCTCACCGCCGGGGTCTGCCGTTTTTCCCCGATCTCCATAAAGAGATCTCGAGAACGTGGGAAAGACCGCATTCGTCCCGTATTTTGAGTCCCAATGTAATAGATTACAGCAATGTTGTGGGGGCTCGAGATATGGGAAGATGCCGAAGGTGGAGGAGGCTTTAGCGAGCTATCTCTCTCCCGAATCGGCGTCTTCCCTAAAGACCCCGGTGTTGCCTAGTAAGCCCTGCAGGGAGACATCTGCATTAGTGGGCAGGGCTTACATGGCGGCGGGTCGGGCTGGTTCGTGTCTGCACTCGATGGCGATTTTGCAGGCATACCAGGCCGACCTCCTGAAAGATTTGGATGAGGGGGAGGGGCCTACTCCTGAAGATGTCGCGGAGTTGAGAAAGGCCGCAGATTTGTCTCTCCGGGCCACTAGGGAAGCAGCCAGCGCTATTGGCCGCTCTATGGCGGCCATGGTGGCCACGGAGAGGCATCTGTGGCTGAACTTATCTGGTATTAAAGAAAAGGATAGGTCCTTCCTGCTGGATGCGCCGCTTTCGGCTTCTGGCCTGTTCGGCGACGCCGTTAATTCGGTTGTCGACAGGTTTCAGGAGTCGAGAAAACAATCTGCGGCGTTCCAGCAGTACCTCCCCCGGAAAGCGAAGGCCAAATCTAGTAGGGGGGGGGGGCAAAGCAATCAGCCCCAGCCATCAGCCAGCTCCTCCCACAGGGCAGAGCAGAAGGAGAGCGTTTCCTCTAGAGCCCCCCCTCCGGGGTCTTGGCAACAGAGGAAACGCTCCCAAAAACCGAAGTCCTCCGGCCAGAGGGGCGACCTGAGGGACGTCATTCAGGCTAAGAGGACTTCGGAAAAGAGGTCCTAGCCAAGGCAGGACTTCAGAGGGCTGCCCCCTCCGCAGTGAGACAACCGAGGTTGTTCTCACAGCGGGGCCCTCTAG